GATGTTACCATACGATTACAATAAAGTACCAAACTTAAGGCTAGTATCATTTGAGACATAATAATCTCCCTCGCTAATAAAGTTCATGGTCTTGAAGTCGGACTGGCGGTTTACGTGCCCTTCCTGATCGTCTTACGGGCTCGGGTTGTCGTTCGGCGTCCTGTTGTGGATGTACCACCTCCTGTCTTTCGGCTTGTTGCTGTGGAGCTATGTGCGGAGCTACTCGACGCTCGATGATTATCTCGTTTGGTAGTTTCTGTTTTCTCTCTATTACCGTAGTTTCTTTGCGATCCTCGACGTTAGTTACGCTTGATTTATAAAGTTGGTTTATGTGTCTCTTGAGGGTATAGCCATTATCTAATTCAACTTGATAATGTAACTTCCCGAACTTTTCTGTAACTATGCCGAATTTCCATGTTGCTTTATTTTTGTGAAACCATCTTACTTGCACCCGGTCTCCCATGCTAAATTGTCGGGCTCGGTCTGAGACCATAGGTGACGACGTTGCTTCGCCGTAGTGTACGGGTTTAATAGCATCTAACCTGGTTCGAGTTTTCCGCCCCAGGTAAATTTCCGCGGGAGTTTTGTTATTTTCTAAAGGTGTGATTCGATAACGGCTTACAATTTCTTGGACCTTCTTGCGCATTGGTATGTTAACGTGCTGCATTGCTTCGAGTTTGTTCTTCAGCGTTTGGATGTGTCTTTCCGCTAGACCGTTCGTAGCTGGGTGTCCTGGTGCGATAAATTTTTGAACGATGCCGTTACTTTGGCAGAATAATCTGAACGATTTGCTTTGAAAAATTGTAGCGTTGTCGGAGACTAGCACTTGTGGCAGTCCATGTGTTGAAAATATATCTTCTAATAACTCGATCGTGCTCTCGGACGTGGATGCATTCTTGATTACCCTTATCTCCGGCCATTTTGATTTTGCGTCGATGAGAACGAAGAAAAAATGATTTTGAAATGGACCAGCATAGTCCATGTGAACCCTTTCAAAATTTTCTTGCGGCTGTTCCCAACTATGAGTGGTTATTTGTGCTGGATCCTTTCGGACCATCGCGCAGTCATTGCACGATTTTACTAAGTTTTCTATATCTGCATCGATGCCTTTCCAGTAGCAATATCGCCGAGCCATTTGTTTCATTTTCACGATTCCCAAATGTGTGTAGTGCAACTCTTTTAGGATTTCGCCACGCAGGGACTTTGGAATCATTACCCTTTGGCCCTTCAATACAATATCACTTTGTATGGTGTATTCCGGATCTTGAATTTTACCATTTATCAATTTCGTTCTCAATTCAGCTAGCTCCGGGTCATTTCCGGTTTCTTTTGCAATAGATATCGCCGTAACTATGTTGGTGGATATTGTATTTACTGTTTCTATTTGTATTGCATTCACTTCCTCATCTAGAAAATATGTGAATCTATTCGACGAGTCTTTTGCTGGTGCTCTAGACAAACAATCGACGTGTGTAATCAGTTCTGATTTCCGATGCTTCATTTTATAATTAAAACCTTGAAGAAAAGAGGCGTAACGTAGTAGCCGAGCCGATGTCATTGCCGGAATTTTTTCGCTCTGATGCAGAATTCGAGAAAGGGGTCGATTATCTGTGACTAATGTAAATTCTCTTGCATACAAATATTGAAAAAATTTGTCAACTGCGAATATTATTGCTAGCGCTTCGCGATCTAACTGACTATAATTTTGTTCTGCTTTAGTTAACGCTCGTGAGATAAATGATACCGGTCGTTCGACCCCATTTTCTTCATGCGCCAGCACTGCCGCAATGCCCGTAGGGCTAGCATCACACGTCAAAACCACAGGCAAATCTGAATCATACGGCCTCAAAACTATATCGGTTAGAATTTCGCGCTTAAGTCTTTCGAACGAGGATTGACATTCCTCGGACCATTTAAATTTTGTATTTTTGGATAGTAGCTTCCTCAAAGGGTAAGTAATAGTTGATAGATCTGGAATGAACCGCGAGTAATACGTTATCATTCCCAAGAACCTTCTCAGATCATCAGGGCTCTTTGGGGTCGGAATATCGCGAATGGCTTTTACTTTTTCCGGACATTTTGTGATTTTATTCTATCTATCTATGAGCTGGCTCTAATTGTGGGTTGACGTACCTTGCCGTTCGGTTTTGGAATAACCACCAATGGTGAACCCCAGTTGCTGGTATTCACTTTCGTGATAATGCCATCGCGCCCCCATTCGTCGAGCTCTTCTTCGACCTTTTTTGTTCAAATACTTCCGGATATTTTGTTACTAGACTTTCAATAGAATTTATGTTGCATGGAGTTTTTGCCTTTACTTGTTTATCAACATCTTCTAGCTTGATACCTAACTTTCGAATCCAAACTCGACCTAAGAGAGGCGTATGCCTAGCGGATACCACATACAGATCTACTATTGACTTATTGTTTTTGTACTCTGCCGTTACTTTTGCTACTCCTTTTGGTAGAAAAATTTCTCCGGTATACGAACGGAAAAGGACGTTCGACTTCTGTAGGTTTACATTCAGTTTCAGTTTATTGAAATCATTTTCTGGTAATAAGGTGTACCCGGCCCCTGAATCAACTTCGAACTTTTGGCTTTTTCCCTCTATGAGTACTTTTGCATAGAATTTGTCTATTTCTCTCTTTGATATTTCTGCATTTTTGTATATGTCTATAACTTTGTGGATATCCGCGGTTGAATACTTCCAATGGTTGCCTTTCGCACTCACCTTGCACAAACACAGTTTCTTTCCGCTTTAAGGAAACACGTTGGTTTTCAATTTTTATGTATTTTGCTTAATAGTTTGCTCATATATTCAAAGTATATTTTGGATGACACAGTTAAAAAAGATGTTTCAAAATTGCTGATATTAAGGGGGCGCGTGCGCGTTGTCCGACTTGAGTAGCTGAACTGCTTTGTGCGGATTTTCGCACGGCCGCTGAACTCGGCTTAAGCGGCGGCTTAGACAGCGGTATCTTCTGAAAATTCACTTTCCGAATCTGTAACTTTATTCGTTTGTTTTAGATCTTTTCTTTGCTTCATTTTGTATTGTATACATACGTCTTTTACATGCCCTGTTTTGTGACAGTATTCACAGTTTAGTTTGTTTTTGTTCATTTTGCAGTTCTTTGTCAAATGGTTTTGGCGCGCGCATCTCAAGCACCTATTTTCTAACCCTAATTCCCTGTATTTATTTCGCTTCACTTTATCGCCTTTGCTTTTAGTTCTAACCTGTTTAACATCACTGGGGCCGGTTCCCGATGCTATTTCTTGACTATCAATTTTCGCTGCTTCCAGAGCTGATGCTCCAGGGTTTTGTAGTAGTTGTTCTCTAATGTGACTATCGCTCAACCCTCGTATGAATTGCGCGCGTAAAAATAAGTTTGCCACTGATTTGCTACATTCGCATGTGAATTGGCAATCGCTAGCTTTTTTTTTGTAATTGAGCTGAAAATTCTGCGATTGTCTGGCCTTCGTTCTGGATTTCAGATAAGAATCGATGTTGTTCTACCAGAACATTCTTTCTGACATTAAAATGGTTTTCAAGTAACTTAATGACCTCGGCATATTGCAATTCGCTAATTATTCGTGGCGCTGCTAACGTCACTAGTAAAGCATAATTCGATGCCCCAATATATTGCAATAATAACTTCGTGCAAAGTTCTTTATTTTCGAAAATACCTTTTATTTGGAAGTGTAACTCCAGGCGGCTCCTATAGTTCTTGAATGACTCCACTTTTGCATTAAATTCCTCGAATGTGGTCAACATGGTGACGCTCGTGCTCGCTGCTCCAACATTTGCTTGTTGCTGTTGTCATGGACGACAATGCTGTTAAAAGACTGCTTAGCTGCTCAGAATCCATCTTGGTGTGCCAAGTTTTGCTTTCCTCTCGTCGCCAACTATTATGTTCGGTTTAATATGTACTTTATTACACGAAACTATAGATCAGTGTACAACTATGACAATTGATATCTTAGAATTGAAAATGATGTAATACTTATAGTGACAGTCGAAATGTATCGATAAAAAGATGTTACCATACGATTACAATAAAGTACCAAACTTAAGGCTAGTATCATTTGAGACATAATAGAAGTAATGACCTTAGCTCAGCTTAAAAGGCATAGCCTTAATCAAGCAAGCGAATGATATTCACAATATTCCAATAAACACCACCTTCACCCTTCCATTCAGTTGTAATACATCCTTGTGCGTATATATGGATGGATCCGTCCTTAGTGAATTTTTTGGGATTACACTTATCTATGTATATCGTAGTGCGGGTTGTGAGGAAATAGTCCATTTCTCTTTGGGGTGAAAGTCATTCAGGACACTATACACCAGTGAAAACAGCGCATTGATATTTGTCGTTCTGATGGCTCCTGTCTTTTCGTTGGATTTTGTCCATTTTTCATGCTCACCTTAGGTCTGATTACCCCTGCTACTATCTAGTGCAAATAAAAGATGTTTAGCTATATCTTTCATAGCTAACGTTGCACTATTTAGAAAACCGACATTCATAGTGGAGCAGCCGAGTTTCCTAGTAAAGAGAACCAGTTCTTATTTTGAGGTGTTGACTACCAAGCTTCTACTGCTACATCAACGTGAAAATTAACTAGGCAATCCCTTTAAGGAGTTAGTCATTGTGAACAGATGCTTCTTCCGCAAGAATGATAGAATACATTTCAGGCGGATTCATCGTTTTAGTTCAGAAATTTTCTTCCATGAGAGCTCTCTCTCTCTCGCTTCTTGAACGCAAGGTTGTCGGTACTGTGGTCATAGAGCGGCGTGTGTATGTATATGTTCGACGTAGATTCACTAGATTATTGTGTTTTATTTTGGTTGGGAAAGTGGGGTCTCTGCCCGACTAGCCATTGACTGAGCGTACCTCAGCTTTTGAACAAACCCATAAAACGCATTAGTCATCTTGAACTCGTCTTTAATTTTGATAAAATATACGAACATTTTCTAAAATATTTAATTGTTATTATTTAGAATACTAGCTGTTGGCTGGGATCAGCAAGTTACCGAATTCAACGATGTTGAAGGACGAGAATATGGAGATCCAAAGAAATGGACTAAATTCCATAATGACGATGTCACTTGTGCTGATGTAAAACTAGGCGAAGGTGTCGTGACTGCGACTTATTCTGGTGAGCTAATATTTTGGAAACTCGAAACTGGCCAACCATATCGAAGATACAGTGTAGCCGATCCCAAACGGTTTATTGAGGTAACTGCATACATACATACGAGGACCAATATACTCAACACTTTTTCATTAAAACATTACCAAATATGAAATTCTCTACGAAATTATATAAAAGCTCAAACGCAGAGAATCCGTCAGAGATAGCTTAGGTAAACGAACTTCACAGCACTTAACCGTTTCACGTTTTGTGCAAAAATCAATTTCCGATAACATAAAAAAGATTGAATCGGAAATGCATAAGAAACCTACATCATTTGAAGACACTTTTTCACGATCGGAATTACGTGAAGAATTAGAAGTAGCGGAATCGCAGCGCTCCGTAAGACCAGTGTCTGTGCAGGCGGTGCTATTCCTACAGACGCGGCCAATGACAAAGGAGCATGGTATGTTGATATTCAATAGATACGTGCACATGTATACTCAATATATAGGGCTCCATATCAGGCTCTTCAAATGTACAGCGCTTTTTAGGTGGAAGTAAACCGCTGAAAAATTGAAAAGCGCTAAACACTTGCAAAAACCTATTGCGAAGTGCTACCCTTAGGGCCGGTTGCTCAAAGCCTGGTTGACACTAATCATTGGTTAACATCGTTATCGACGTTTTCGACTCCATGCATATAACCATGATAAAAATATAGTAAGGTAGAGCCGCTGAGAGTCACTTTTAAAATTCTTGACGTTTCCAAACAATTTAATTTTAAAATGTACTCACAAACTCACACACACATTTTCATTTTCAATCTCAAGCAACAACAATTTCGAATAATTTCATTTTTTTATTTTCACTTTTATATGATTTTAAAATGTTGGCAAAACAAAAAAATCATGGCCGACAAATTGAGAGAACGGTTCTACCTTGCTATATTTTTATCATGCATATAACAAGGTGTCGGTAACGTCGATAACGATGTTTAACCGGGGATTAGTGTCAACCAGGCTTTGAGCAACCGGCCCTTAGTATTAAAACACCAATGCTCTATTTGGCATTTTTGTGTTTTTGAAGGAAGCGTTTTTGTCTCTCTCGATACGGGAATAATTCAAGTGTATTCCCATCACCAACGGGGCGGCTATCTCACTGAATTCAATTCCAGTCATCGTAGTGGAGATTGTGTGCTGACAATGGCAACTGATCGCAAAAATCGATATCTTTTTACGGGCACTGCCTTTGGTTATATCAAGATTTGGCATATTGTAAATTATTGGTAAGTGAATTAAAATTATGTTCGACGGGCCAAAACTTTGCTTTTTACTTTTGAGAGCGGAAAGAAAGAGTCACTCGTTTTGATATCACTTTAAGATAAGGTTTTTGCGCAGCTTGGCTGTCGCCGCGAATGAAAATATGATGCGCTCATAAAAATCTCGGCAGAATTACGTCTGGGCAAACATTCATGGCATAAACCCCCGTTTCAAAGATGCTAGGGTACTTTCCCATGGGAACGGAGATGGTGGACTTAGGGCCACATATTCCTGCCCTTATACCTTCGCCAGTTATTGAATTACCTTTAGGTATGTGGCCGCAAGGTGTTACGTGGTATGGTCTGGTTTGCCAAACAATTTTCAATGTACATATATTCAGCTGAGATAGGGCGTTTTTGAACCGAATTCTGAGATAGGGCGTTCTTCAACCAAATTGGGTCATTGACCTAAATATAAAATGTAACGTGACATTTTCGCTTTTCTTTTGTTAATTTAATGTTTATTATTTTCTTATGAAAGTATACCTCAAAACTTGCTAAAATTCCGAGTCCCAATTTAAACCAGGTGTCGATATGAAAATAAAAAACATCAAACCAAAAAGTTATTTAAAAAAATGTATTTTTGAAATTTTTTCGTGAAGAACCTACGCATGCCCACGCTCTTATTAAAATTCTTAGTATTGAATTTATTACCGCTGTGGTGTAGTGGTAAGCAGTGCGCGCTTTCACACATCCGCACCTGGGTTCAAGCCCTGGTCAAAGCAACATCCCAAAAAATATAGAAGACGGTTTTTTCTAAACAGCGGTCGTCCCTCGGCAGGCAATGGCAAACCTCCGAGTGTATTTCTGCCATGAAAAAACAGCTTCTCATAAAAATACAATCGCCGTTCGGAGTCGGCGTAAAACTGTAGGTCCCTCCGCTTTGTGTGACAACATCAAGGCGCACGCCACAAGTCGGAGGAGAAGCTCGGCCAAACACTAACATATGTGTAAGCGCCAATCTATTATTATTATTATTGAATTTATTAACTTTAGTGGCTTCCTTGGGACATATAATTTATTTTATAGAGAAATTTCGATTCAATTCCCTTTTGTGGATAAATTGCCTTTACAAAAATACCACAAACGTTTACATTGCAGACTAAGAATTTTTTTTTTTTGTCCACTACTGTTCTCGATGTTTTTGCTCCTTAACTGTAGAAGTCTATATAACTATTTTGCAATTTAATGCCTAGTGAAAATCCAGCATAAGAGTTGTATTGTCGTTTTATATATGTAGGGTTAAACACAAACTGGGAAAAATTATAGAATTTAAGAAGCTATCATAATGTGACTCGTTTTGATGCCTTGTGAATCTCCCAGTTATGCAGATCTTAAACTTTAATATTTCCCAGAAAGCGTGTACACGAAAATTGTACGTGTCTCCATGTACATATGTATATGTTTGTATTTATGTCCACTTTTAAATAAAGTTTTCGTGTGAGTCAATGACTGGAATAATGAAATATGGGTTACGTTTTATTTATGTAATAAATAAGTATGTATGTATATATGTAACAACATGTCCGTAAACCAAACTTTCGTAAAAGGTAATTTACATATCATTTCGTAAACTTATGTAGGTTCGCGTGTTTTATTTGAGAAGAAATCGTTTAAGCAGCAAAGGAATTTAGTACATAAATGGCGAATGGCGGATGGGCGTACCAACGAATAAATAATGCAATATTCAAATTTATTGCTTAAGACATGCTGCTACATTAGTACAAACATGTTTACATACATATATACATGCAGTTATTACTTACATATGTAGTTATATTTTTCACAATCATGTCAAAATGTAAAAACATTCGCAAACAACTGTTGACGTTTTAACGACTTTTGTGGCATTTGATTTGGTTATTATTCGTAGGCATGTCGCATGTGGCATGCGACAATAATGATGGCACCTGTTGCATCACCCACATACCAAATAAGAAACTTGTTATTTTCTGTAGTAATTTTCTTTTCTTGGTACTCGTATATATATCACAGCATACCGGAGGAGGAGAAGCAGCACATTTGTATGCCACTACTTCGCTTGCAGTTTATATTTTTGCGCAAGGAGCGCTTCTTGACGCGCACCAAACGAGTGATTAGACATCAACCGGAGCCTATGCTGTTGAGTTCATATAAGGCGCATATTAAAGCAATCAATTCTATCGTATACATTAATACGCCGAAAATATTGATATCGTAAGTAAATGCATGTTGTTTTTTTTTGTGTATTATTTTGGTAATTAAAATTGTATTAAAATCGCTGGTTTATTGAATACTTTTTCTGATTTAGCGGCAGTCACGATTGTTCTTGCCGCTTATGGTCACTTGGCGGTCGTTATCTTGGTACTTTGGGCACACCTTTACCCTGGCTTAAGTTATCACCCTTCGAAGCAGTGAAGGAAGATCAACAATATCGGATGCCGCCCGACATCAAAAAAGTGGCAAGCTCCACAACAATGAAGGTAAATTTACTTAGATAATTTCGAGGGTGTAGAAACATAAATTTTGACACATATGCACACATGGATACATATGTATTTATTAAAGAACTGCAAAATTCAAAATTTTCTGTAAAAATCTCTTTTTCAAAAATTGCATGCATTGCTATGTCATGTCAACTCAAAAAAGCTGTTGTGCCATGTCATTCCATCTCAAACATACTGTTTTAGCATGTCGTTGCTACTTAGCTAAGATGTTGTTCGCTGTTGTGCTTCTGTAGCATAATTAGGTGCTTAAAAAATTTACAAAATCTCTTCCCGTATATAAAATGTAATTAATAATGTTGACTATGTCGCATGTGTCGCATGTGTTGCTTGTGTTGACATGCATAGATTTGATGCATGATTTGATTTCAATTATTCTACAGGGTATTCATATGGTATTGTGAAACATGTATGAGCGACATAATATGAACTGGCACTTGCGTGATGTGACACATGTTGCTATGTTTTATAGTTCAACATTTGCAGGCCTTTAGTATTTATATCCTTAACAACGACCGAAAAAGGGTTTTATTCGAAAGTATGGCTATGAGTAAATATGCTGTTCATTCTTCCGGGCAGCCGCTTTGCCGACGCAAAATGGTCGTAGAAGCAATTAGACCGTTGTTGTTGCAGCAGCATACAAGTTCCCCAAAGAGTTTTTGTGGAGTATTGCTGGAGTGACAGTCCTTGGCCAGATATTAATCTGGGTCGTTGCGGTTACGTAGACCCGACTGTCGTGTGAACGTAGTCCCGACTACCGGTGCCCGGTCACATACCTTTGTGCGATTTCCAGTAAAATCTGACTATTTCTGACTAGTTCGGACTCGTACGGGATTGCCATTTATATAACCAGCACCATATAAATCCACATTTCAAACTTAATATATATGTATATACAAATTCAACAAACCAGTTAGCAATTTCACCAATAATTGTAAACTTTTTATTCAGAATGTTTAGAAAAATTCTAGGTATGCAGTTTTATAGCTTATTAAATTTTAATAGGATAAAGTGCAAGTTTCAAGATGCTAGAAAATCGCATTAATTTTTGATAATTTTTTTTTCTGACGGAGTTAGGCATTTTCTTCCATATATGTAAAAGAAATGTGCTGGTTATATACATAAGCCGTCATCGATTCACAAACAGTTCGCGAGTGGCGAAACGAACGAACTCGCTATCGTCCATCCTTTAGCCGTCATCAATTCGCCACCTCTCTGCTCGCAATGTTTGAGTTACGGTCGCTTATCGAAAAATTTTGCATGTGAAAGCAACAACAAAGTTAGCAAATAATGGACGATAGCGAGTATCTCATTGAGTTGTTGTTGCTCTCACATACAACATTTTTTATAACCGAACGGAACTCAAACATAGCGAGCAGAGAAGTGGTGAATCGATAACGGCTAAAGTTAGCTAACAGAAGAGCGCACCTATTAGTTGTGTTAAATGAGCTGCTCTAGGTTACGCCAGGTTAAGATATCTCACAAAATTGTGTTTCACGAGGATTTTTCTTGCTCTAACTTACTCTACTTTTTGTTTCATGAGCCTGCGCTAAATGGGACTAGAGCAATTTAGAGCACGATTTTCTGCACCAGCTTTTTTGATGGAGTAACTTAGAGCAAGCAAGCAAGCAAGAATTTCTACCTGAAAAGTGTTTCATGAGATTTATGATCTGACTTGCTCTAACTTGCTCTATTGTTTTTTTTGCCAGCTGCTCTATTCTGCTCTAAAGGCGCTGGCCCAATGCAAGCTTGATTTGCACGCCTTGCTTGCTTTAATTTTCTTTGATTTACTTCAAAAACTCGTTTGGCCAAATGGCGGCTTGGAATGCTGTCAAAGCAACCAGCTGTATAGGTAAAAAGTCAAGGTCTGTTCCCTTACACTAAGAATAATTTTCCCACAAAATTCCAGAAAATTAAAAAAAAAATACAAAACAATATTTTCAGATTTATTTTTAAATTAATGCAAATTAATTTTTGTATTTCAAAGAAATGATAATAATTATACATACATATATAACTACATATATTACATTTATTAAAAACAACAAACCAAAAATAAATTAGATTTTTCAAGAGACGACTGACCAGTAGTTTGACATCATAAATATCGCTAGCTTTGTGTAAAAAGTTGCTAAGTCTACATTTTATGAAACCTCATATTTTGATATGGGAAGCAAGAGAAATTAAGGATTAAGGTACTTGTTTCATTTTTTCTCGTTTGTATTGAATGAGAGACAAATTTTCTAAGTCAAAAAGAGGCCCCGAATATCCGATAAGGCCAAAATAATGCGAAATCTTTTCATAAAGATCGAATCTACTGATTCGTATGGAGTTTTGCTTTACTTTAAACACGCAAACTCTTGTATTCAAAGTAAAATTTGTAAAAATGGACTTAGCAACTTTTTACTTTAAGCCAGCGACATGTTAAATATAGATATGGAAACATAGAATCATTTTTATTGAACTTTGAATTACTTATATTATATATATATTTTTTTGATAACGTAAGCAAATTTTTGTTCATAAAAGCAGCAGTTTGTTTGAATTTATTTAGAACGGAAACATACCTTTTTGTCAAAAGTCTACAAAACGTTTTCAAATAAAACGTTTGCTTATTTGAAACTTTGAGGCGCTTAAGGCAAGTAGAGCAAAGCTGACATTTGGCCATTCTTCATACGTTTTAGTATATCCCAAATAACTTTTGACAGTTCTCAAAGCAAAGCAAGCCTGCATTGGGCCAGTACCTTAAGTTGAGCTGCTCTGCACTTTTTTCGGTTTCATTAAACACAACTATTGTCACTTAACTTAATCAGCTGACAACAAGTGTATGTAGATACATTTTATGCCGGCAAACCTGTCGTTGGGCAATCGGAAACCGGAGCGTTGTAGTTCTAACAGCACATAAATCACCCGAAGAGTTTTTGGGGAATAATGTTGGAGTGACTGTTCTTTGCCGGATATGAATCTGGGTCGTTCCGGTTAGGTAGACCCGACTGCAGAGGGAGCGTGCAAAACGTCCCTCTCTTGGGTCTTTCGTGGACTTGGTAACTACATATATGCATCGGATGAACGAAATTGTTTGCACAAAATCAAAGCGAAAATAGAATATTCGAAAACATGTATTTGAAAGAAAGCACTCACCATTTAATGTATGTATGTATGTATGTACATATGTATATTCTAACTTCCAAGTTCCAAACCCAACAAGCAAAATAAACTTAAAGAAAGTTAAGTTATTCATCCCACTTTGCAGAATTTTATGTTGGGGAACATTTTTGTGGTATCATTTGTAATAATAGTTGTGACTGTGGTGCCGGTATCAATTACCAAGCACGCACTTACATATGTACATATGTACTTTGAATAAATTAACATTCATCAGCGTTTGTTGATCAAATAAAACGATTTTAAATAAAACACTACAGTACACAATTTAATCGAACAAACCGATACATGTGCGAAAATTAAGCACTCATCAAAGGACTTTTAGTTTGAGTATTCAGACTTTTTACATTTATTGGGTATACATTGAGAACTAAAGATCTACGATTATTGTACACTTGCACTTTATCGACATCATACGACACTTGTACTATATTTACATTTTAGCGAAATTGAACCTGCGTTTTTTCCTTAACAATTGCTAGCATTTAGCTTCTTTTATGTATTTGTGTTATTTATCACTTTTTAATAAGTGAAGTAAGCCCTCACTTTATTTATTTATATTTGCAAAAATTCATTCACGAATAATGCACTATAAATTGCTTTTTGCCTTTGCCTTCACAACTGACAGTTTTCTTAAATGTCCGAAATGACCGCGGCAGCGTACGATGCCACGTGGTGTATGTACAAACCGCTATCCGCACGGAAATGCCAAATACTACAGGGTTTGTGCTTACATCGATAAGCGTAGTAGGAAACAACTCGAAAGGAATGGCGCAAAATAAAGTATGTATTAAGGAAACGGAAATAAAAAGGCAAAAAATTGAATAAAAACTTCAATGAGAAAATATTATATGTATATCAAATATAGGTAATAAATCAATTACCCATGCACATTGAGTACAAAAAATATGCGATTGAAGTGATTCTAATGGTCTAATTATGCATACTTTGCATAACTTCGCACAACTTCCCATAAACTTTAAACTGTAATTTCGTATGTACTTTGTATGTATTCTATTACCCATAAATCAGCAGAACTTTTAAAAACTTAGGGATATGTTTAGTTTAGTTTTTGCTTCATATTTTCTTAAGTTAAATTTTTATTGCACTGGTAAAAATGGTTGTGCAAAGTTATGCGAAGTATGCATAATCAGACCTTTAAGCTTTATGCACTCTTATTCAATTCATAATCTGTTGATAATACTTTTGACCCAGAAATTTCGCGCTGCTTCTCGGACAAGTCGAACCTTTAGTCAGCAACATCCTCGCATTATTAAGTTAAAAGGTCACACCAAGTTTTTAGCGCTTTTGCCACACAAACAACTTATAGTTCAAAAATACGCTGGAAGCCTAATAAAAGGCACCCAACGCTTTACTTCCTTGAATTTACCAAAAACTATACCACCGGGTGCTGAAAGTTCTTTAGCTTGCATTTAGAGAAAAATTTATCAAAAATATCGTTTCAATAACTTCAATTAGTAATCAACAAATGCATTCGAAATTCTTCCACATTCAGGTGATTAGCGGCGTTCAAGAAGATAAAATGCCAGCAAGTTACGATCCGAAGGCAGCGGATGATGATGAAGCCGTTGAAGCAGAAGCTACAGCGCGTATGTACGGCAAACCTTTGAAAGAACCCATTCTTGGTAAACACTTTGAATTGCCCGGCAAGAGTGCTACCGAACAGCGTATCGATTTGGATACATCACTTTCGTATATACCGGTTTTTACACATTTGAAAATACACGAAGCCGATGATATTGAACGGCCACCCACACCACCGACAATACGTCGCATAGGCAATGAAGACTATATGGAGTTTTATAATCTGAAAAAGAAGTGGGGACCAGGACAGAAAAAACAAGAGTTTAAATAATGGATAAAGACAAAAATTAGAAGAAAGAAATGGCAGCAAATAATCGCACAGGTGTTCCGGAAATATTGCAAATTTTCTAGCAATTTGAAACTACATATGTACATACATTTGTATATTGATAGCATAATATCTATATTCTGTATTTACTTTATGTAATAAAAATTTTCAACTCATTACAAGTCATTAAACATTATGCATATTTCTTATGAGCTATATAGTTAGTTAAAAAAAAGAATTGTGCATAATTTTCATAGGTAAATGTTACACTCTAACTTACTCTTGTAAGTTGTTGTCTAAACGTAAGCGTCTTCATAGTCCATTTAAGGAAATTGCTGCCGTTGCACGTCAGAATAATCTTCCGACGGACTTAATTAATTTATTCTCTCCGTGTCCTCCAGCATCAGAATCCTCAGCCTCAAAAGACCGTGTAACGAAATCTGCTTCGGATAATAAAGAGCTTGAAGTATCTTCCCCTTCCCCCATTGAAGTGGTGGCATCATCTTCAAAGCCTCCACCGCCTTCCCTATCCTCAACTACTAACGCAGAAACTCAACCCCCTCCACCGGTTGTCCAGTCTGATACGAGGAAACTAGTTGTGGTTCCTCCAAAGAAGTCAATCTTTGTTTCTAGATTTTCGAGAGACACTACCGAGACGATATAAAGCTTTACATCTCATCAAAAATCACAGCTGTCGACTTAAGCATCAGAAAATTTAATTTTAATTACGAAAGAAATATTTCTTCATTTAAAATTGACGTAAATTTAGATAATTTTATGCGCTGCTTAGTAGTTCTTTTTGGCCCCCCGGAGCTTTCGTTCGTGAATTCGAATATAGGCCCAAAAAAGTAAATAACTTAGCTAATATTCCCCGTCATAACACTGAATCAAAAAACTAATTATTAAATCTGCTTTAAGTGTGATCCCCTAGTTTTGACCGAAGATGTCTACCACCCTGCTATGGAGGTATCTTACGAAGTTATACATAAGTGATGGTCAAAATTGCAGTACCCAAGCATACGAGCCAAATATTCGCTTTGATTTTTCGAAAGCCAACTTTAAAATGCTTAGCAAAGAACTGTCTAAATTGTCGTGGCCTATATTTAAAGAAAATATTGAACAAAGCGTTGCACTTTTTAACTTTACTTTACATAAATTATTTGAAAAGCATGTGCCTAAACGTATGTATGTTCCTGAAGAGCAAACACAGTTATGGTTCACTAAAGAACTGAGAAATTTGAAAAACAGAAAGTTGCGTTATTTTAGATTACACAAAAAAACCGGTTTACACTCATACTATGTAAAGTACTCACTTTACTCACATAAGTTTTTTGAATTAAACAAAAAGTGTTATAAAGCTTACTTGTGTAAAATGAAACGGCGTATAATATATAACCCCAAATCATTTTATGACTTCGTAAATTCCAAGCGAAATGTACGTGGGTTTCCTTCCGCCATGAAGTATCAAAATACCGTCTCTAGTGATAATCAAACAATTTCTAACATGTTCGCTCAGTTTTTTAAATCCAATTATTCCATTAACTCACATGCTAACATTGACTATCCTTTTAAACTATGTCCAATGAACTCAATAAATATCCCAGTAGTATCTCCCGATGATGTAGTAGTTTATCTGCAATCCTTAAAGCGGTCCTTCAGTTATGGTCCTGACCAGATCCCTACTTGTATTCTTATAAATTGTTCTGATTATCTCTATGAGCCGTTAACAGCGTTATTTAATTTATCTCTTAAAGAGGGCGTTTTTCCAACTATATGGAAAGAATCGTTCAAAACCCCGTTACATAAAAGCGGTAGCAGATCTTCAGTGGAGAACTACCGGGGAATAGCTAAGCTTTCTGCAATTCCTAAATTATTTGAAGCAATTATAACAAATCAGTTGACGCATTCTATCTCTTCTAGCATTTCATATAGTCATGGATTTTGCAAGGGCAAATCAACTTCTACAAATTTACTCGAATTAACATCCTACATCTCAAAAGAATTTAGTGAAAGCAAAACTGTTGATGTTATATATACTGACTTCAGTAAAGCATTTGACAAAGTGTGCCATTCGTTGCTCATCTACAAACTTGATCTTCTTGGTCTTCCACCTTATTTTCTACGTTGGATCTCTTCATACCTCTATGATAGATCACAAAGGGTAATGTTTAAAAATACTATCTCTGACGTCATTGATGTTACTTCAGGAGTCCCTCAAGGTAGCCACCTGGGCCCGGATCTGTTCTTGCTTTTTATAAACGATATTTCTACAGATATAAAATTTTCCAAAATTTGAATGTATGCAGATGATGTAAAGCTTTATAAATCGTACGTTTCAATTAAAGAAAGGTCTTTGCTACAATCAGACTTAGACAGCATGGCTTACTGGTGTCAAGTAAATATCATGCCTCTAAATCTTAAGAAATGTAAAGTAATGAGCTTCTCGCGAAGAGCTGTTCATCCCACTTCTTATACAATAGGTAACCATAACCTGGAACAGGTATACAATTTAGTGGACCTTGGTATCACAATGGATCCTAAGCTTAATTTTAATCTTCATATTAATGTGACAGTCAACAAGGCTAAAGGTGTACTTGCATTTGTGAAACGATGGTCAAAAGAATTTTGTGACCCTTATGTCACTAAAACCCTGTTTACAACATTAGTTAGGCCAATTCTGGAATACGGTTGGGTGGTTTGGAATCACAAGGTATCAAATTTACTCAGACAAGATAGAATCAATTCAAAAACAATTCCTACTTTTTGCTTTACGAATTTTCCGTTGGGATTCTCAATATAACCTTCCATCTTATACGAGCCGATTAAAACTTATTAATCTTCCTACTGCCGCAGGCAAATGCTTGGTACAATTTTTATAGTTAAATTACTAACAGGCTCAATTTCAAGTCCGCTTCTTCTTGGCGCAGTTAGCCTTAATGTTCCCTCCCGGGTATCAAGACACTTTTGCCCTCTATTTCTGAAAGCTTGTAAAACTAATTTTGAATTGCACCACCCACTCCGTTGCTTATGCCAGGATTTTAACTCTCATTCCAGCACGTTTGATATATCAGATCCGCTTTTCAGCATTAAGAAATCGATACTGTCCTCTCTCAATAAATGAATCATTAAAATAAAGACATAAAATCGGCTGATGAATTTAGTTCTGTAGCTGAACAGTTTTAGATCTCGACACTTAACAAACTCCTGCCTATCGTGACTTGGCGCAAAAATTGAAAATACTGGTTCCGTACGTCATGCGGACTGCGCCCCTCGTGCGGATGGGCGGGAATGGAGGGTAAAAACCGTTGGGATATTATTAAATAAAGAACACGCATCAAACATTTGGCCGGCAATATGTAGATAATTGGTTGGCTCTTTCTGCGAGAGTAAATGGAAGCAGTGTGTCACTAATTTTTTTAAAGCAATGATATTAATCTCATCCCCGTCAGTAGCGGATATTTGAATGTATCCACTCGGTGCATCGCGCTATTGTATGTAGTAAAAAAAAAATTTATAAATAGCATAGATATAAAAAAGTGTGTCTCACATACCAGTCTATCGAGAAAATGCAAAAGCACATGACCCACAGACGCAATTTTCATGTAGGCATCGCGCGATGCCTTCGCAATCAAATTTATGCGCCGGCCCGCTACCTCCAGAAGCAAACGTGCAATATGTTCATCGTCGCGCAACTCTTTTAACAGCGGCTCACCGTGAACGTCGTAACCATGCGCGTACATTTCCACTACCTGCATTAAAAAAAAAAAAAAACAATTTTTGTAATGTTATACAGGTGATTTAGCAAAACCAAACACTAACTTGTTGACGTATAAGCACCGTTTTCTTCAACTTCCAACTTTCTGCCAATGCCATAATCTTCTTCATACACTCCTCATGCTCTAGCACGTACAACTGCTCCAAGTCTTCGCGTATTAAGTCCATTGAGGCAGTAATTACTTTGCATAAGAAATGCTCACGTTGCTGTTGCAACACCAAATCCGTTTCTGGCAGCTCAAAAGGCAGCTCTTTATTGATATCACTGAAGAAAGCCTTATTTGCCATGGCATCGAATACATTTGTAAATGGGCTTAAAATGTAATACAGCGCATAACTCATAGTGCAATTGTAACAACTCTTCAATAGCATTGTGCTGTTGCAACGCAAGATACTGCAGAGGCAGCTGACCATCCGTGAGCGACTCCTCGAACTTCAATTCACGGCTATTGTGGTCGAGTGAACTGCTGAAATGTTCTAAAAATTGTAAACTTAATTCGAGAAATTCAGGCACTAAAGCGGCAGACATTTCGATATCCTGTTGGCACATTTTATCCTTCGGCAAACGACCCGCCTTTTGTATTAGTTTCATAGTCGATTGCAGTGGATACTTAAGGGTGGCATTCCAAAGCATACAACAAATGCCATGCTTCAACGCATAATCTACCGGCTTGAAGTTGGACATGCATGTGAGTGCAGCGCGCATATATTGCAAGCATGGTAAATTTTTACTCCAATGTACCATATACTGTAGGGCGGGTCGATTTAAAAATCGCTCATTGCTCTGTGAAAATCGTATTCTGGGGATCAAAATAAGAAACTTTGCCGAAGGAACCATACCTCTAAGACGAATTCTGATGTCCCCCACTTTGGGTCGAACTTTTGGGTAGGGGCAAATTTTGAAAAATCCCACTTTGACCCATTTAGAGTGCTCCAATCGAGTCCAAATGTATGACCGACCCCCACTAACTTTGGACGGCCGATCCACCCATGCCAGTGGCCCCCTGGAACTCCCCTGGGGGGTTCCCCATACAATCATTTCAAAAAATCACCATTTTTGGCCTTTACATGAAAAAATCAGCTAAATGGCTGTTTATTTTTATTTATTTATTTATAATATTTATTATTTATTTATAATAATATCTATTTTTTCTCTTAAGAAATTTATTTAGTCAGAACATATGTAAATGAAAAAATTAATTTAAGTGAGTTATAGAAAAGAAACTAAAAAAAATTATTGTTTGAAGTCTTTTTTACTTTCAAGTCTGGGCAATTTCGCACGGCTCTCTAATGTCGTCGCCATAACAGCCTCTACATTTTCCGGTATAACCCGTTTGGAAACGCTAGCTAGCAATTGAACATGTCGTTCCGTTCCTTGTATATGTGATGGAATTTTTGGATCATTAAACGGTGGATCATCTTGATTTAAATATTCCTTCAATGTATCGTACGGAATGCTTCGCGTGCATGGTGGTTCAAATACGATATTTATATCATTCAAATTGATCATTTCCGTATAACTTGTGCAATTAAAGTTTATATCTGGTTTTTATAAACTCTAAGTTCCATTGGCTCGTCAACATCGGTTCGATAGCGTAGAATTTTCTTGATGGCACAGTCGCGCTTTTCTTTGCTATCATCAAACAACATTGATAACAAGATATTTTCCGAATGCGCATAATATGAATTATCTTTAATTACTTGATTGACAATTTTGCGTAAACGAGGTTCTAGAAATCGTGACCAACCAATGAACTTGAAAAATAATGCACTGCCGTACACGACAGAGCTGTAATACTTGATATTGAAGTACATTGGCACATAACATTTAATTATAAATTCAGCCAGAATTCTTAAATTTGCATCTGGATTTTCCGTTGTCACATATAATCGCAATAATCTAGCGGCCTTGGTGAACCACCGAGAATGTACAATTTTCCCTGGTTTGATGTTAGCCAGATCCACCGGAACCACGCCGCTAGAAATTGCATGGGCCATGTCGTATAAGTACTTCGAATCGGTGGAAAATTCCATTTTTTCTGGAGCAGGGGGCATATTTTGCAACTCAATTTTCTGGAAGCCGTCCACCACCTGAAAATATATAATAATAAAATAATTAAAAATGGTTGACAATTATAATAAATGAGTGATAGCAATAACTTACCGGAAGAGTTTCACAAGTTTCGATTTGACGGCTCAGTTTTCCGGTTGCCGATCTTGGTCCAGTGCTGGTTGATTTATCCAAAGCTTCAAACAAATGCCGAAACGGAAGTTCGTTGAAGTGTAGAAGGCAAACGAACCAATGCAATGGTCTTTTTAACAGCAATTCGAATCGTCGTATAATTCCACCGTGTGGGCCAGTGTTTGTTGGCTCACCGTCAGTGCATATTCCAATTAATGCATCCAGTGATATATTTTTATCGTTGAAAAAACCATTTAATTTGGTTGTTTTGTATTCAGCGGTTTCATGTTCCAGTCTTACGCAACCAATCAATTCAGAATTGGGTTCTCTCAAAATAACAAGATGATGATTTTATCTATCGTTAAAGTATCATCTTTTCTGCCATCGAATGAAAACGCTAACAAATTGGTATCATCTAACCGTTTGCGAAGCACTTCTTGTCTGCATTTTTCTTTTTCTCTGCGAACTTTCGATTTATCCATGATGAGAGGTTTCCCATGCTTATCTTTAATTTTAAAATCTTGCAAAAGAGCGGTCCCCAATGCTGATGCTACTTTGTCAGGCACACCAAATCTGTCACATACCAAGGCAAAGTTAAAACAATCGTATCTCTCTGTGTATTGTGAACTTGTGCTTCTATCCATATCTTCTTGAACCGGTGGCGGTGCGTATGTTGAATCATCGGGATCTTGGTATGTTGGCATTGATGACATAGACGTTGCTCCTTGCTCTTCAGTTTCCATTACAAATGCATCCATTGTTAGTCTTCTCTGATTATGTTGATCGTGCATGAACTCTTTGAGGCGTTCGGGAACCCAGCCGCATGCACATGGAGCTGCCTCCAAATCGCATTTACATGTTCCAATGTAAAAAATTGTTTCCAGAGATTTTACATACTCTGTAAATTGTTGGGTGTTGTTTCTTCTCTTGATTTGCTCTTGATACTTATCAAGCAATTTATTAAATACACTTTTTTTCAGCATTATTTCCATACCAAGTTTTTCCCAAATTCCAATCAACTTATCTTGTACTTGAATAGTGAATGATTTATGGGAAAACTTTTTTTGTTCTGTTTTAGCACGTTCGCTTAAGTAAAAATAATATCTCAAGATATCCAGATGGGTTGGTAAATTAAGATCAGTTAAATCAGTAGACACACCAAAAACAGTAACATCATGCTTGGGTATATGACTCATTGGGTTTTCGATAGTTGTTGATGTAGTTGCTTCATCTTGCGGTGTAGAGGATGGTGGATTCATTGTAAACTTTTTGATTTGGAATGGTCACTTCACTTATTATTTTTTTTTTGAAATATTTTTTTATCTGAAATTAGCACTTCACACTTTGAGTTCTTCACAACGACTTAATGCATTCACAAAAACTGTTGCGTTATATATGGTCTACGAGACGAGGTAATAAGAATGAAATGGTAATTTCAATTCTACCTGCTGTGTCTTGTGGTGGCTTTAAAAAAACAACACAAGCAATTTTACGATCTCCAATTGTGTCAAAGTGATACCTTCATTGTTTAAAAGGGTTGCGGTGCATTCCAGTGATACCTTAATTGTTAAAATGGTTACAAAAAACGCGCATTTCTCAAGAAGGTGCCTTAAAATACCCACAAAAAGGGTTGTAAAAACAACCTTCATTTCTTAAGTAGGTGCTATAAAAAAACTACACAAGTACGTTTACGACATGCAGCTGTGTCTTAAAAAACGCACACAAGCAATTTTCCGATTTGCAATTGTGTCACAGTGATACCTTCATTTTTTAAAACGGTTGAATAAAAAACCCACACAACTATGTTTACGACATGCAAATGCATCACAGTGATGCCTTGGTTTTAAAAGGGTTGTAAAAACGCTAATTTCTAATAATTTTTTTAATTTCTTTTCTATTTGTCGGGTTTTTGGTATTTATTTATTTTTTTCGTGACGTTTGCACGTTTATTTGTACACGGGTAAAATAATATATAATTTATGTAAATGAGGCGCTTAGAACTAATTTAATATATTGCGATTATGTATACGACGATCCGCTCATGACGGCGTTTGACAACCAACTCCACTTACTGTTGTGGGCGTTGCCACAGTGTAAGTCGGATGATAATGCTGCCACATTTATAGTTGTGTGGTGATGCCCAACATCCCCCTCCGTTAGACAAAACAATTGGGTCGTCTACGGGTTCTGTTTGATCTGCGTAGCACTGGACGTTGTTCATCTCCCATCTGTCGTGATGCAGTACGTTGTTGCTGGGAGGAAGTGAGATGGTGCGTAGGCTTAATATCTTCGAAAATTTCTGGTTCACGCGCCATGTCATCTTCGATGAATCGTTTACGACGTTGATTTTCATGGGAACGAATCAAGTCTTTACGTCGTGCTGTCTTGATTAAGATGTTGTACACTACTTTCCCCAACTCTTTCGATTACTTCGCCTGGTGACCAGTATTGTTTGTTGTTGTGATAAATTTTTACAAATACTTTATCACCTTTACTAAATTCACGTGTTAACGCGCCGTGTTTTTTATTGAACGCGTTTTCCATCGTAGTGTTTTTGTTTTTCAAAAATGGTTCGTGACTTTTTAGGGCATCGAGGGGTGTAGACAACTTTCTCCCAATGAAACATTCTGGTATTGACCATGAACTAAGGGTTGCTTTTGTTGGAGATTTGGATACGCTTGCGCAGTTTGAACAATGTTTTACGAAATTTTCGATTTGTGCGTCAATTTTTGGCCAGTAAACGTACGAGCGTGCTAGAGATTTCATACGTTTGCTTCCTTGGTGTCCTTTATGGATTTGCTTAAGAATTCGTTGTTGAAATTTTAATGGAATTACAAATCTGTCTAAATACATGAGGCAATCATTAATGCTGCGTATAGCGTCTCTGCGATTGTAAAATGCTTGTACATCAGTAGGAAGGTTTTTAGCTGATGTTGGCCAGCCATGTTGTACGTATTCGTTGACCTTCTGTAACGTAGTGTCAGACTTGGTTACTGCTCGAATCATATTGAATGTTACTGGAAGACTTTTGATGTTTTCTTGTAATATAGCTGACACTTCGTTTTCCACTAATACTTGCGCTACTACAAATTCTTCATCGTGTTTTTTGTGTTTATCAATGAGACGTGAGAGAACATCGACATTTCCGAACTCCGTTGTTTTGACATACTGAATGTTGAAATCGTAACTCATCAAAACTAATGCCCATCGTTGTAAACGATTTGCTGTGTGAGTTGGAATACCTTTCTTTGATCCGAAAATGGCAAGTAAGGGTTTGTGGTCGGTTAAAAGCGTGAATTTGCGACCATAGATCATTCTATGGAACTTAGTGCAGGCGTAGACTAAGGCTAAAGCTTCTTTTTCGATTTGGCTATATTTTTGCTCTGTAGCTGTGAGAGTACGCGAATTATGATGTACCACTTTGTTTGCTCCATTTTGCATTTTATGAAAAATTTGTGCTCCGATTCCGACTGTAGACGCATCAGCTGCCACAAATATTGGTAATGAAGGATCGTAATGCGTAAGTAACAAATCCGACTGAAGAATTGTTTTAAATTCGGTGAGTGCTTTTTCACAATTGTTGTTCCAGATCCATTTAGCATCAAGTTTGAGTAACTCATCTAATGGATGACGTAGTTGACTCATGCGAGGAATGAATTTTCCGTAATAATTTATTGCTCCTAAAAACGATCGTAGCTCCGAAACATTTGTTGGTCGTGGCATGTTCCGAATAGCGACAATTTTTGCTGGATCAGGATGAATACCATCACTGTCTATTATGTGACCGAGGTATTTGATTGTTGTTCTAAAAATTTCACATTTAGACCAATTTATTCTAAGGTTGTGCTCTTGGAAGCGTTTCATTACTTGCATAACTAAATCGTAGTTTTGCTCTGGTGTAGACGTTGCAATGATGATGTCGTCCAAATAGGCTATAGCTCCGTCTAATCCAGAAAGAACGGTTTCCATAGCTTTTTGAAATGCGCCTGGTGCTGAAGTTACACCTGGTGGAAGGCGGTTGAACTGAAATAATCCTTTATGCGTGTTGATAGTGAGCATCTTCTTTGACACGTCGTCTATCTCAAACTGTAGATAAGCGTCCGATAAGTCAATTTTGCTGAAAACTTTGCATTTTGACATTTTTGCAAAAATTTCATCTGCGTGTGGAGCGGATATAAATTTGGCTCCATACAGTCATTTAACCCGGTGGAGTAATCTGCACAAATTCGAATATGTTTATTCGGTTTACGTACAACTATCGGTGCTGCCCACTCTGAGTGCGTGATTGGCGTGATGATATCAGCTTCTTGTAGACGGTTTAACTCTTTCTCTACTGCTGAAAGTGCTGCATACGGAACCGGTCGTTTTGGCCTGAAAACTGGAGTTGAGTTTTGTTTAACTTCCAAGTTAACCTTAAATTTAGTGCAATGTCCTGTAGAATTTTGTACCACCGTTGGAAACTGCTTGTTAATAGCCGTGAAAAGTTCATCTTTGTTGATTTTAAAAGCTTCATTTTTATTTGCTGCTGCTGTAACTGTGTTGCAGATTGAACTTATGGGTTTGTCCCAGTATCCAAATTTGTTAATCAAGTCGATTCCAAAAACATTTAGATTTGGAAGACTAGATACGAAAATGCTGCTCTTATGTGAGACCTCTTTATGTTGTATTGTTGGACTAAATTCACCGATAATAGGAATGCGTTGCTTCAGTGCACAAGATGCAACCCGACTGGATTGATACAATTTTGGGCTGCCAAGCTTTTCCCAATTTCCTCTCGATATAATTGTGATGTCGGCTGCTGTGTCAAATTGTAATTTTAGCTTATTTGACTTTATTTCTACCGTGATATACTTTCGTTGGGGCATATGATTGTGTACGCAATTGACTCTCGCTGTAGCTGCGATGACTTTCGTACGAAAATTCTTCTTGTGTGTTGGAACGGCGAAAACTACCTGATGAGCGCTGATTTGATACGCGCTGTGTATTTTTGTTCGATGATTGTGAGCTGCAACATGAGCAATACCAATCTCTGTGACCTATTTTGCCGCAATCTTTGCACTTGTTATGAGCGTATGTGCAATCTTTGACGAAATGTAATTCTCCGCATTGCCAACATGGGCGTCTAGGTTTGACCTGCTGCTGGTTTGAGTAACGCGGATGTATGGAGATCTTTCCCCTGTTTTCGCCTTGCTGCTTTTTGTGCAATGAAACGGCGTTGATCGTACTAAAATTATTTCTTTTTACAAGCTGCTCAAGAGATATACCGGGGTTTGTGTCAATTAGTGGAAGTAACTTACTGCGGATATCTGCTTTTTCTGGCGATCGCAATCCGATAACGAATATTAGGCTCTTCAATTCGGCACTGCTTATTTGACCATGTATGAAATTTTCACATAATTTGTTGACACGGCTGGAGTATGTCACGAAATCTTCACTGTCGTCCATGGTGTTTTGCAAACATTTGTAGCGCATGCTGAAAAGTGATTCGTGCCTGTCGAATAATGATTGAAGTTGCTTTACAGTGTTGCTAAAGTTGAGTTCTTTCGGCTTCTTCGGTAGTATAAAATCTGCATATCGTTCATACACTGGTAGACTGAGTTTGCGCAATAGTATGCTTGTTTTCTGGGAGTCTGATAGCGACTGAGCATCAGTTGTAAAATGTTCCTCATAGCGGCTGTACCAACTCGTAAAAATTTGGTTTGAATCTGGGTCATAACGAAACTCTTGAATGTTTTTACATATTACATCCATCAACGTTTCTTGCTGACCGCTTGGAACGTGCTGTTGTGGTGCACTTGTAAAATTTGATTGCGCTTGGAGGATTCTTGTTAACTTTTCGATGCTATCTTGTTGTTGTGCAGCCGCCTCTTGCTGCTGAATTAGAATTTTTGAAACCACGCTTTCTAATGCCGTTTGCTGGAGCGCTAGGGCTTTGCTGGAAAAATTTTATTTTCTCCAGCTTCGAGGTCTTGTGGAAAATTTCCGTATACCGATTTCTTTGCGTGAAAAGTGCTTCCTTTTGCGATTAAATACGAACGCGAATAATTTTTTTTTTGCGTTTTTAGATTTGCTCGCGTGAAGACTTTAAAATCCTCGTCGCCACTGTCGGGTTTTTGGTATTTATTTATTTTTTTCGTGACGTTTGCACGTTTATTTGTACACGGGTAAAATAATATATAATTTATGTAAATGAGGCGCTTAGAACTAATATTATTATTATTATTGCGATTATGTATACGACGATCCGCTCATGACGGCGTTTGACAACCAACTCCACTTACTGTTGTGGGCGTTGCCACAGTGTAAGTCGGATGATAATGCTGCCACATTTATGCCCAACACTATTACTAAGTTAAATTCATTTTTTCATTTACATATGTTCTGACTAAATAGATTTCTAAAGAGAAAAATAAACTCCAAAAAGAAAAAACATAGGCATTTCGCTGATTTTTTCATGTAAAGTGCAAAACCGGCGATTTTTTGAAATGTTTGTATGGTGAACCACCAGGGGGGTTCCAGGGGGTGTGCCACTGGCATCGGTGGGTCGGACCTCCAAAGTAAGTGGGGGTCGGTCATACATTTGGACTCGATTGGAGCACTCTAAATGGGTCAAAGTGGGATTTTTCAAAATTTGCCCCTACCCAAAAGTTCGACCCAAATTGGGGGACATCAGAATTCGTTTTAGAGGTATGGTTCCTTCGGCAAAGTTTCTTATTTTGATCCCTAGAATATGATTTTCACAGAGCAATGGGCGATTTTTTTGCCTCCCCACAAATCGACCCGGCCTAATATACTGCCATGACATAAGACTGAGCAGCATACCCGATTCCAAACTAAATGGAAAATGTTCGCGCAGAAGTGCCAATTTTTTTAATACTGGATCATCTGTGGACTCGACTGCTACCTTCTTGTCTGACAAGCATTGATCGCCCCCACCTACATTAATAGCTAACTCCTCGTTGTCTTCGATTGTATTCGTATTAGTTGGAGTCTGACTTCTCTCTTGCACACCAATCTCGTCTACTAGTACTACTTCGGTTTCAAGAATTTTCAAAGGATGTATGCGTGAGTTGATCAACCATTGGGCAGTAAGATCCGTGACAATGCCTTTGCCCCCGTTGACAATAAATTTTAAACTACAATGTGGTGGTTTATATGGTAGTTCGGGCATAACGGGTTCAGTACTTTGTATTGGATGCCTGAAATAATGTCAATAGTTTACGTATGCATCACAAAACTGTTCATATGTATACATTTTATGCACTTACTCTACAGTGGCGCCTAATATTGAAATATCTTCCAATTTACCGATGAGTAAACCCCATTGTGCTTGATCGTGTGAGATTTGTTCCCACTTTTCTTCTTCCTCTGCCTGCGAACCCTCGTCGCAAGAGCCCTTATAATTTTTAAAAAGAAAAAGATATTAAATAAAATATCAAACAATTCAATATCACAACTGTTTATCGTACTTCTTTAAAGCCCCGTCGAAGTTTGGCTGCCACTGACTTACACACAATGGCCGCAAGTAAGCCAAGTGATTTGGGACTTTCCAAAAGTATTTCACGCACATCCTGCCACCACTGTGAGATGGCATTGTATGCGTAGTCGTAGACACGATCGCCTGCTAATTCGCACAAAGCTTTTATCATAGCTGCCAGCCGTGTCATATCAGCAATAACTTCATCACTGAAAAGTAAGTAAATAGTGTTGTAAAGTTTAATAATACTAAACCTGCCTTCTAGCTGTACTTACCAGTTTTGATATCGGAATGGCTTCTCCATCCAAAAGTGTAGCGCTAAAACCATCAAATCTTCAGCAGGTATTTTGGCTTTAACCGCTGCCGATTTTAACTCTTCAAAGCACAAACCGCTTTCGAAAAATTCCCTAAAAAGCCGCCCACTTATATAGCCAAAGCTTTCGATTTTTTCGCGTAGGAGCGGTAATTTATCCTCAATATCAACTTGAAAAATGCTTAAAAAGTCAACAAAGTCACCATCTTCCTGACACCGCTCTTGAAACGTCACCCTTCCACTAAAATGAGCACCTTCGTCGATATCGCTTTGGGTTGGTTGTGCACATTTGTCGCCCAGTAATAAAACGACTTGGTTGATAGTTACCAAATCACAATCATCTAATTCTAAATAGTCATCGAATTCTGCTTCGCTTGGCCGCTTCATTGTTAAATAAAATTCTGCGAGCCGTTTGTAATTATCAACCACAATTTTAAAACTACCGTGCTCTGCATTTACGTCGCCGTCCTCCTCTTGCGTTTCTGTGCATAATGAGTCGGCAAAGGCGGATACAATTTTTTGAAATATATGGGGTTTTAACTGCTTATTTTTCTTTAACATCTCAAGGCATTGCTGGCGTACTTCGATCGTTTGAAAGCCTGCGGCTACTTGGGTAATTTCGTCCATGCTAGTAGAAGTTTCACCTTCTCGCAAAAGATTCTTGAGCTGACGAAACAAGTGTACATTGCGTGAAGTTTTCGAGTTGGTCTCACTTAGCGCAAAATGGAAGGGTATTTGCATCTCTTTGACGCTACTATCGCTGGGATCTAAAAACAAGCAATAATTCGGTGAGGATGATTTCACCTTCATGCCTGGTGGTACGCCTAAAAAATTAGACATGAAAACAAAGTAAATATATTCAGTTAGATATTTTTTTCTCCTCGTTACTCACCCATTAAACCATGTGTATTGTATGCTAATTGTCCATTTTTGGTAACCGTGAGTGCGGCAACTTTTGGACCATTTTGCAATGCCCAGATCTCCAAACAACCCAAACGTGGCGCATATATAACGAGAAACTGTGCTTTTCGATGTTGTGTTTGTACTCCTTTCAGTGAACGTTCTTTTACAGGCACAAACGCAAATTGAGCGTCTCGATAGCCCTTCCATACACGTAACGCTATTCCACGTTGCAGGTCGAAAAGAAGAAGACGATCTAAGTTATCAGTTACGACAGCCAGTCTACCATTTGGTGCGAGCGCAACAGTGAAGCCATCACGCTTTTTATCATATACGTGTACGCATCATTGATTCCTTTGCTATAGAAGGTGTATCTTCTTCTTTCCTCTCGGGCTGTCCAAATAATTTTCCCCAAACACTACGATAAGTCAAATCTAAGACACCTTTTGCTACATCACTTCATGGTACAATAAAAACAGGTAGAAGCCAAATTGACATCAAACCTACAAAAGTCAAAGTTTTCGGGAGAGTAAAAATAAAAATGAGCGTGTGTAAAGAAAAATAAAAAAATTACATTTCGCTGGTTGACGTTTTTAAGTAAATTTGAAGTTTTGTATTTATTTATTTATTTTCTTTAGTTAAAATTTGTTAATTTGTATGTTCTTTTCCATTTTTTTATACATTGAAAGTTTATATTTATAGTACCTGTTTTAATTTTGTATAATATACAAATGTATGTATAAAGCGATATATGTACTAGGCATAACGTTGGGCAATCAATAAAACGACGGAACACAAATAAGCGCGATCATTTATTAAGCTTTCACAACTTGATTTATGAGTTGCAGTGTTGTTGGAAGGACTTTCCGGCATAAGGGTCATAGGAAGAGCACTTGGCATCAAACGTGCCTTTCCTGTACCTCCTGGTGCATTTATGAAATCTGCTGCTTTAAAATGCTTAACGCACAGCAAGGCATTTCGCTGCAGCTCTACCCCAAAGCTGCTTTCCCAACGCTCCTTACGCCAAGGGCATTGAGGCACGTTAAAAAAATTAGTGATGTCTGCATTATATTTAACACCACATAAAAAACAACGCTTCAGGTGCTGCATTTTTAACACATACACTAAGTATAAACCGCACAACACTACAATAATGCAAATGTTAATTAAAATTTGTTTTTAACGAACATTCAAAAAAAACAAACGACATGACATTTTAAGCGTAACGAAATATAGGAAATAAAATAAAATCAAGTTGAAGTTTAACCGTAGATCGAGCTTAAAAAATAATTCATAAATGAAGCCATGTATCATTTTTGATACATACTATAGTTCATAGGAAAACCTGATTTATTACAAAATCTTACTTTAGAGTTTTAATATGTTTATTTTTATTGCTACATTATATGCAAGTATTTTTTAAGAGTTTACATGTTTAGGTGTTATTTATGCAATCTATGCAAACATTTTTGGCATGTTTGTCATTACAGCACGGCTTTTTACATGAAAAAGAGAATGACGAAGTCCACTTATTTTTGTTTTCTCCAGAATGAAAGCATTTTTGACACCTTGCGCGGTTTTTTTTCGCAGACTTATCAGTTTTTTGTTTTTTTTTTTATGGGCCAGCATCATTATCATTAATAACGGGGATATTCTTACTTGAGAGTTTCGAAAGCAGCGCCAGAGATAGTTCATTTCTTGGGCCTTGTTTACGTTATTCCATATAAGACTTTGCCAACGAAATTGCCAACTCATGCAGGAAAC